TTTTTTATTACAAAATCTTTTATTACAAAATCATAAGCATGTCATTCTGTAACATAACAACATCACACTCAAGCACACCATCTGACATTTAAGGTGAAATGTTCAAATTAAAACTATAAATTATTACACCTATAGTATTACCCTACCAACCATACTCAAGTAAGCCTTACATCTGCCAGACCCTGTATATAAAAGGAAATTATTTATAAAATTTGTTATTACCGTGGTCTGAATATTTGTGCCCCCCCCCCCCATTCATACGTTGAAATTCTAACTCTCAAGGTGATGGTATTAAGAGGCAGGGCTTTTGGGGATGACTAGGTCATGAGGGTGAAGCCCTCATGAATGGGATACGTGTCTTTAGAAAAGAGGCCTTAGAAAGCACCCTGGCCTTTCTACCACAGCAAAAAGGTGTCATCCATGAAGAACTGGCCTCTCACAAGACACTGAATTTGGTGGGGCCGTGATTTTGGACTTCCAAGCCCTCAGAACTGTGAGAAATAAGTGTTTGCTGTTTATAAGCCACTTAGTTATGGCATTTTTACTAAGACAGGTATGTTATTATTATTAGTATCTCAATAGCATCAGGGATTCTGGACCCAACTACCTGCATTTGAATATCAGCTCTGCTACTTATTAGCCATGTGACTTAAATTATTTGGCCTTTAGTTTTCTCATCTGTAAAATGGTGAGAATAATACTACCTACACTTCACTGAATTGCTACAATGTATGCAAAATGGTGAACGTAATAGTGCTAAATCAGTGTTGGCTAAACCCAATAAACAAAATTCACATGTGATTGTAGGAACAAGATATTTCACCATCTTGCAAATTTGATGCAAACCACTGTCCTCTATTCTGAAAGACAGACATATCTTTAGGGTCCTGCACTATTTATGATTTTTATGGCATAAAATTATAATAATTCTGTAGAATAAAACTGTAAATGGGGAGATAAGCAAGTTCAATAGATCGCCTAGAGAGACACAGGATTTGGGGTTGGAAGATCTATTCTGAGTTAAGTAAGGGACACACTTCTAGAACTTGTTCCCTTATCTGCAAGATAAACATGACATCACTTCTGCCTTGGTGTCCACTGGTCTGATTTGAGGACCTAGTAACGTATTGACATGAGACCATTCCTGATTTGCTACCACACCTCCTATTGCTAATCACAATGAATTTACACACGCCATTCTCTGCATTCTCACTGATTCCTTTGACATACTATCAATACCTCAGTGTCTGAAAATCTGAACAGCTTTCAATACTGACTTATTCCCTGCAACATGTGAATAATAAAACAAAATTTACTCATATAAGGATTGAGATCAAGAACCCTTTCAAATTCAAGACAAGGTGTAAATTACTGCAAAGGGTCTCTTTAATTGGAATCAAAACATTTTTGACAGCTTTTGGATTTTAAAATTCTAGCTATTGTCACGTTCTGCAAATGTTTCTTTTCTTAGTTAAAAAAAAAGTGCAGTCAAGGCTGAGCAGACATAGTTTAGACACGATAAACAACTAAAATTAGCCATTCCAAATGACAACGACCCAGTTTTCCATTTCTTTGATATTTAGGACAGCATACTTTACTGAGACTCTAATCCTGCACGATTCTGTTGGTCCCCTGCTGGGTAATGACTAAAGTTTAAAAAACTATTCCTGCTCATAATCTCCAAAGAAGATTTTGGAAAACTTCCATTTATCTAAAGATAAATCACATTTATGGGAATAACTTTAAGGGAGACACAGAATTTTAAAACTAGTCCCAGTTATCACCTTAGCTGTGACTTTGTTCAACACCTCACTTCCACTTGACTCCCTTCCACAATTTCCCCATCATAAGGTCATTGCTTCAACACTCCCAGCAACAGTGAACTCACTTGCACAGAAGGCAGTCCACCTAACTATTCAACAGCTCTGACCAGTAGAAAATTCTTCTTATTCATAAGCTGAAACTGCTTCCTAGAAACTTCTGTGGACTGGTTTTGGTTCTGTTCCTTGAGTCAAACAGAACAGATCTCCACCTTCTACTACATATCTTTTTGGAGAGATGAAACATATTATTACTGCAGGGTGCCCTGCCCCCTACTGTCTCTACTTCAGACTTTTAAACGTGTTCAGTCCGCTCCACCAGTTTTCTCCAGACTTGTGTTCAGGCATATTGACGAGGTAAGGTTGCAGGAGTTGCTGCTACAGAGGCCTGACATTAATCAAACAGAACTAGCGTAGACTAAGCCAGGCAGAAAATGTTCAACTCTGCCTTCATCCTGATTCTCCACTAAGGATCTGACAATTTTTCCAAAAGCCAGGTGGCTTGGGGCTGAAATAATGATTTTACCATTGTTCTTTCCTTGTGTGCAGCTAAAGAATCAAAACTAGTATTACAAGGTTTGGTGGTATCTTTCTTTGGGGCCATCTTAGCTACCCTTGAGTGAGGATTTAGATAAAGGTAAAGAATATAAACTACCTCTCCTCATTAGTTAAAATTGGGTGATTAGGACTTTAATTATCTGGGCAGAGCCTATTTAATGGTATGGTACATAATGGAATAGCAAAGCCCCAAAATATGTCCCCCAAATGAGATAAAGCATCTGATTCTCTGCCTCACTCCTGTCTCTTTGGTTAGGTAAGTTGACATAGTGATGTACAGGCATGGAATGGGGAGAAGGTAGAGATGATGACATAAAGTTGGGGAATATGAGTCAGTTAGGCTTGATCCATATTACATGGCTCCCTAAAGGATGCTAAGGAATCCATATCCTCCAAGTTTCTGAGAGCCCAAAGCTCTCTGCCTCCTGGGTGTTATCCAGGATCCCAGGAAGCCACGTGTGTATTGACAAGTCTTGACTCAGCATAGGTTCCCATTCCCCCACCTGCCCTCGTCCCCCTTATCAGAATATCCTTTGATTTGCCTGTGTCCTTTTTAAGATGTGCAGTTCAAAACTGAGCATAGTCTTCCCAGGAAAAGGAAAACCATACTTCCCTAAGGCAGGAGAGGCTTACATTAGGCTATTAACCTTGCAGCATTTAAGCTTCTTTACTTCAGATGCTAGTATCTTCATTCTAGACTCTCTCCTACCACGGCACCTTTCTCTCAATATAGAAGTTAGTTGCATTGATTTTTGACTCAGGCCAACTAGTGGCTAAACCCAGTTCTGTCTCCAACATGCTGGGTGAACTTGGGAAAGTCCCTCACCTGAGAGATAACAGGCACTGCAGTTAAGTGAAAATGCTTGTGAGCTAGACTGCCTGGGTTCTAATCCTATCTCCACCACCACTTCCTTTTACAAGTTAATAAACGTTTCTCTCCTCAATACTTTCAACTATAAAATGAAGGGTCAATACTACATACCTCATAGGGTTGTTGTGAGGATTAAATGATTTGGTACTAACAAAGGATTTATAACAATGCATGGCACATATTATGTGCTTGATGAAGTAGCTATTATTATTATTATTATTATTATCTCATAGGACTGTTGTGAGGATAAAACTGAATAATGTATGTAAAGTGACTAATATGTATGTAAAGTGATCTAGTATATAGCATGTACTCAATAAACTGAAGTTATTATTATCAGATCTTTTTTATTGTGATAAAGTATAGATAACAAAAGCTGACCACTTTAACCATCTTTAAGTGGTTCAGTGGCAGAAAGTATATTCATGTTGTTGTGCAAACACCATAGCCATCCATCCAGCACTGCTGCCTTCTTTCCAAATTTAAACCCTGTACCCGTTAAACACTAATTCTTCATCACCCCCTGCACCCAGGGCCTGGCAACAGCCATTTTACTGTCTGTCTCTTTGAATTTGACTCTTTAGATAACTCATGTAAGTGGAATCCTACAGAATTTACCTTTTTGTGATTAGTCATTTCACTTTGAATAATGTCCTCAAGGTTTACCCATGTTGTAGCATGTGCAGAACATCCTTCTTTTTATTGCTGAATATTACTCCATTGTCTGTATGCACCACATTTGATTTACCCATTCATCCACGGAAGGATGCCTAGGTTGCTTTCCCCTTTTGGCCATTGTGAGTAATGCTGCTATGAACGTGGGTGTCCAAATATCTGTCTTACTACTAGTTATTCCAGAGAAACTTTTCTTCAAGGAAACCTGTTTTTACTGTTAAATTATCACCCGGCTACCCATATTTTATCCTAATATGGGTCAGAACAAAGGGGAGTAAGTAATTATGTAAAATGACTAAGGTTAATTTACTTGGCTAGTATTGTTTATACAGTGCTTGATAAATTACCTTGTGAAGTTCAAAGGAGGTAATATACATGGAGGTGAATAAATAAAAGGACAACTAAGTCCATTTGACTCTCACCCGCTTGACAAAACAGATCATAGAGTATTTTTTCTGTTTTTCTCTTACCATCAGCTGAGCAGGTCCGCCAAAGTCGGGCAAGCCCCGGGATGAACCTGGGAGCTAATTGCTTCTGTGAGATTGATAAAAACAGACTACTTCTTTGGTTTGTTCAAAAAACATATCAGCCCTTACATTTCCTGATCATGTGGTGATAGATTTTTTTTTAAGATAGAAAACTCCATTTATTCTTTTCGATTAAAGCAACTACAAGTTTCCACAGGTTAAACTCAAGAGAGTTCAGATGCTTTGACTAAGTCAAAGGAACCCCATGTGTCCCCGTCTAGGATGCATGTCATTAAAGTTGCCAGCACAGAGAAATTTAACTTAGACTGTCACATTGCCCCTGCTCTTCAAAACTCATCAATCTCCCATTCAATTACCAGGTCTGTGTAACACTTTTATCACAATTACACTATAAGTCACGCTGCAGTCACACTGTGGCCAAGTCAGAGAAGAGCCTCTCTTTGATGGACGATTTCAGTTGATCAAGTTTGTCAGTTGCTTTATGTGTTTTTATGCTTGTTTGATATTCCTGCCCAGTAAATAGAGGCTTCTAAGGGCACATCTGTCAATGGATTGAATTTCACAATGCCATGTGATTCTTTTACTTACCCCTGTCTTCTCATCAAAGATTTTGATTCCTCCAAAGGAGATGGTTAAAAAGATTTTCTGTTTGTGTTCTCCTTTGGAACGAGCGCCAGCAACAACACCCTATTGAAAGGAAAGACATGGTTTTTACTTTAGTGTTTTCATTTGAAAATGCCCTCTAGGCCCAAAGGCATGTCAGATACCATCAATGGATGCCACCAATCATGCTCCTTTCTCTTCGCTCCTTCCAGGTTTCCCTACTTGATGTGCTTGCATTTTCTTGCTGTTTTAGGGGCATACTCATCCTTGCTATTCTAACATTGTATAAATAGATATCTGAGCACCGATTCATTTGGCTAACCACAATTTATAGAATGCCTACTTCGTGCCTGGATACTCGGCTCAGAATTCAAGATCCTAAGATAAACACAATATGGTCCTCTTATCAATATCTTTGCTGGGTTTTGCATTGCATATGGTTTCAATCTTTTCAGCAAAGGTGAGTCATAGAATATATTCCCACATGTGATTTTATTTTTATGCTTTTGGAAGAAGTTCTCATATGAATCAATTTAGAGATTAAAGAAGATAAAAACTATTACCAGACTGCATGTCTCAATTTTTGCTTGGAAAAATATGATGATCATAGTTTCTGCCTATGGTTTGCAATATTTACCCAAACACATTTTGTATTTCCCCTACTCTTTTCCCTATGGTCTCTGGGCTTTCAAAGAAGTACTTACCAAAAGTACTCTGTTTATCAATATATCTGTTTCCACACTTTTCCAAACTTTTATAATCTAAAGGTATGTATATAAGTCAATTAAAAGGTAAACATCACAAAAAGTATGGGTTTCACATGAGGCTACAACTCAGAGGGTAAGGATATGCCCAGGGATTTATACTCACAGGTAGTAGCTGACTCTGCATTAGGTTTTTCAGGGCTTCCAGCCTCTTCCTCACTATTAACCTCTGCAGAGGGCAAGATGAAGCCTAACGCTCAGCAGTTATGGTTATGGGCTTTTAGGTATAGTAAAGTCTAAAATAATACTGATTTCATATTTCCATGAGATAAAAGTAATTTGCGCTGTTCTCAGAATGGCATGGGCTCAGCATCAGCCTCTGAGAATGACTGGTGTTAGAGAGCAGTAGGAATAACCAGAAGGCACAGGAAGAGATGTTCATTTTCTGGAAGCTGTTTGCTTAGCCTCACTTTGGGTACTGAAAATGCTCTCTGGAATCAGAACATCTGGATGATACACCTAGCTCTCTTCAATTCCGGGTAAATTACTGAACTCTCAATTTCACTACTCCAAGTGTAAAGACTTTTTTTGTGTAGTTGAGAGAATTAAATAAAATTTTATTTAAAGTATCAGCACAATGTCTGATATACTGTAGAGATGTAATAAAAATGAACAGCTTCTAGTAAATGAATGATTTTTCTTACAGTTTATGTTCTGGTTGCTGTCTGTGTACCTACTACTAGGAACTTCACTCCCTCACAAGCCGCCCACTCATTCTAAAGTGCCTATGACACTTTATTCACAGATGTACAGAATGTTAGAGCCAGAGAAAAGCTGAAAACTAATCAGTCCAAATTTCCCCACTGACAGATGAGAAAATGATGCCTAGCATGTCCAGAGATAGCAGATAGTTGGAAAAAAAGCTGATAGTATACAATTCAGCTCTCAAGATTTTTGGTGCAGGAAGAAGATATTTCTTCATGTTGTGTCTTCTTTCTAGCAAGCCAACTTCTCCCTCCTGTAACCCTTCCCAGTGTTCTTCTTTCAGCCTCTCATGACTGCTACACGTTGACAGAAGATTCTACCTCCAGTGACTGCCCACTAAACAGTTAAAGACTGACTCATCTTCAAAGCAAGTCCTCTGTCTCTTTAACACCCCTGCCCTATCCAAAGGTCCTTGGATTCCTCAATATACTGCTTGCTTTCCTATGAATTTACTGAGGGATGATTTAAGGACCTGGGGGAAACAGTCAAAGCATGCATCTTAGCAATCTTAGGGGAATCCTATTTCTGTTCAATGTCACCCCATCAGAGACACGATTTCAAACCCTTCCACCTTCCTCGGCAAACTGCATTTCATTCCCTCTCCCTGCATCTCTTTTCCTCATGGCACTCACCACCATCTGACATATGTATTCATTTGCTGACTGTCTTCCTTTGCCCAAGAGAACAAAAGCTCAACTGTTCAGAAACTTTGTTTTGTTCAGTCTGTGCGTCCAGTGCTATAAATACAGTGTTGGAATAAAGTAGGCACTCAAAAAGGTGAAATGACTTTTCCTCACTCAGGTAATGAACAAGCCAGACTTTGACCTAGGAAAACTTGACTTTGAAAACTGTGTTCTTGGCTGGACTTGGAGTAAAGTAACCTATGCTGCCACTCCTCTTCAGCCTAAACTTCAACCTCAGGTATCTAGATATACACAAAGGAGAGAGAAAGGAATAGCCCCATCAAAATGGGAGGGTTGGAAGGACTGTATCAAAGGGAAGGGAGGCCCCTTCTTCTTATTTAATTCCTTCCTAGGTGACGATATCACAAGATATAGTGCAGAGAGGGCTACACCTCTGGTCAGGAAGACTAGCTTCCATGTCTCCATGTCCAAAACCATCCTAACAGTCTCTAGGGCTTAGTATTTGCAAAATTGAACAGCAATAATCCTAGGCACACAGTAGTACTGACTATGTAGATAATGACCTCCTTTGCTTCCTGGTTCCACATAGTTATCAATGAATTCCTTGATAGAATACGGCTCTGTATTTAAAAAGATGGAGAGTTGTGACTGGTGTGGCTTAGTGGGTTGGGCATTTTCTGCCAATCGAAAGGTCAACAGTTCAATTCTCATCAGGGCACATGGCTGGGTTGCGGGCCAGGTCCCTGGTTGGGGGCGTGTGAGAGGCAGCCGACCAATGTTGCTTACACACATCAATGTTTCTCTCCCTCTCTTTCTCCCTCCCTTCCCCTCTCTATAAAAATAAATAAATAAAAAAAATCTCAGAAAGATTTTACTTAATTTTAGAGAGAGGGAAAGGGAGGGAGAGAAACATGGATGTGGAACAGAAACATTGATGTGTGAGACAAACATCATCGATTGGCTGCCTCTTGCATGCCCCCAACCAGGGATCTGGCCTGCAACCCAGGCATGTGTCCTGACTGGGAATTGAACCGGCAACCTTCCTGTTCACAGGCTGGTGCTCAATCCACTGAGCCACACCAGCCAGGGTGAAATAAGCAAAATCTTAAAAAAAAAAAAGATGGAGACAGCATGAAAAGAGCAAACATGCATGGCCCAGGAGCATTTCTATTTGGGGCTGCTGACAGTTGCTTTACGTGACAAATGAAAGCAAGAAGGACTATCCACACAGCGCTATCTTTGGGGAAATAAAACTCCAATTTTATCAAACACGTTTCTCCTTTGAGACCAGACCCTGAGTCAAACTCTGAAAAATCACTCTAAGTCCGAGCATGCCTGCCACCAGACAGCACGTGCTGCCTCGGGGTCCCACCTCCCCCAAGATTACTCATTGCTGTTATGTAGAACTGACGGAGGTCCAGGGCACAGCTCTGGCTGGAGAGTTGGAAGATGAGGAAATAGGTGCCTTTTGGGGTTCTGTGCCTAAGATCAGCCACCTGACCTAGCAAGTCACTGTTGGACACTGGAAAAATAGGGTGGCAAACATTTTCTTGGGTATCTATTATCTACAAGTTCTCTTACATGTTATATAATATCACCCATATGACAATCCTTGGAAGTAAGAATTATCTCCCTTATTTTACATATGAGGAAACATAGGTCAGAGGGTCAAGCGATCACCCCAGACCTCAAAGAATTTAAAAGACATCGAGAACATTTAAATAGTGATCTTTCAGATTCTAATGTTGGAGTTCCTTCTAGTATGAAATGCTGTGAGAGATCTGAGGAGAAGTATAGGTGACAAAAAATAGACTACAAAATATACTACAGATACATCAAAATGTCCTGAAAATACGTAGGCAGAACCACTAGCTTCCAGACTCAGCAGTGAAAGAGATTCCAAAATGAGAATAATCACACTTTTCCCTCGTAAGAACATTAGGACATTTGGACAATATGGACTATGCACATATTGCACCTTGTATGGCACGTAGCACATGGGGAGAGCTCAGTAACTAAATTACCATTATTACTAGTCCTCATATTGACATGATCAAGAATACCCTGTGTTAGGCACCATGTCAAATGATTGGCACAGGCATTCCCTACGGGAGTCACACACAGGTGGCATCTCCATGGAGGATTCACATACCCAGAAGGAGTCATGCATGCCAGGCAGGACTGACAGGCTGCCCTGACCAGCTCATTATCCTATGAGATGGGGTAGAGGAAAGGGCTGTGCAGAACCTTACCCAGCATGACACATGCATGTGACAGAATGACTGGGATCTTCATGGAGCACATAAAGCAGGTGTGAAAACTACAGGCTTCAGGTGTGAATGACTGAAAACCCTGAATGCTATTCCAGAAAACTCCGTGAATGAAACCTGGTCTCCAATCAGCCCTACAACTTGCCAGCTGTAAGAACTTTGGATAAAAGCTTCTCCTAAGTTTTACATTTCTCAGTTAAAAGGGGAAATATTATCAATAAAAGTATCTTCCTCTGTCCTGCAATGTGCCCAGAGCCTGGCCCCTGCAGACACATTCTCTGTTACTGAGCTTCCTGCCCTCCAGCTTCCAGCTGGAGATCAAAGGGTGGACAGAAAGAGAGGTCAGGGTATCTCATGCCACCCTCTTCCTGTCCTTGCTCTGCATCTCTGGCAGTAGCTGTACCTTTGTTTAATGAGGGAGGGGACTTCATTCTCTGTCCTTTCTCCCTAGGTTCCAGTAAATACATCTCTCTCTAGTATATCAGCTTCCCATTCTGGCTAGTCTCTGGGTACCTCACCAGCCCTTGTTTGCCACTCTAACCTTGTCTACGCTTGTAAGTAGCTCCTTCATTAAAGTGCTCTCATCTGACCCAGCCAAAGTGGGTTCTGCTTCTTACAGGACCTGAGTGACATATTTAGGGCTCTGTAATCTCATCTTCTCCCACAGCTTCAACCACGACCCTTTTACCTATTGTCTCTGAAAGGCAACTACGTTGGAAGCCAATGCTGTGTCTATTGAGTAGTAGCTTACTGATAGGGGCTTAAAATCTAATTGGGAAACTAAGATACATTAAATGCAGATCAAAACAGAATATTGTTTAGCCTTAACCTATGTCTTGTCAAACACAGGGCCTCTGAAGATCTGGGTTTGATTCTGGGCTTATCATAGGTTAAATGAAGGTTCTGGAGCAAATCCTTTAACTTCCATCAATGTCATATTTCTTATTTACAAAACAGGGAGGGCAATACCTCACACAATCAACAAATGATGTATATTGAAGTATAAGACCGTAAATTAAAATACGATAATGACAGTGCTTCATTGGTAGACAGGCAATGGCTCACTCAGACTCAAATTATGAATCCCGTCTGAAACCTTTCCAAACCAAGGGAAAACTGTAAAACAGGGAAAGGCACCAGCTTCAAAGAGTCTAACAAAGAAAGATAGGATTATTTTTATTTCTTCTATGGTTTACTGTGAACAAGTAGGCCTTTTTGCAAGGCCAAGAGGCATTTTGTACTTCTCTGCTTCTTTCTTTCCTGGGCAGGCGGCCAAATGAAGAATCGATCGTTTATGTTTCTGTGCTTCCTAAAGAAAAACTGCTGGGAGCTGAAATGTCAACATTCTTTTTGGCAACTTGCAAATAATGAAACATAACCGTCTGAGAAGCAAAGCCCCTCAACAAGTTCAGCACATCTGAAAAGAATGTGTTAGAGTAGGACAAACTCTCAGAGCTGTGGGAACCCCATGGTTATGAGAGTTGACAGATGGGACACTTCACTGCAGGTAGCGTGCACACACACACACAAGATCGGCAGTCATCACCAGGTCTGGTCCAGCTAATGAGGCCCTATGGTACATGACCCTCCAGGGAGAATGAGCCAACTCCTGCCTCATATCCATGTTGACCTTGGTGCTTCCATGGAGGCAGCTGGACAATGAGGCACTCTGTGACAGATGCCTGCCGAATGGCTATGCATCCGGATGCTGCAGGGTGTGGGGGATGGAGAGGAGAAGCATCAGAGCTCCTTTCTCCTCTTCAGCTGACTTGTGGCTCTGGGTGGGAACCAGATTGTTAGAAGTTTTCTTGACATCTTTTAATTAACATCTGTCAGGAGCAAATCTCTATTTGCCTGGCCTCAGACTGAATAAGGAGGGACTTCAGCAAGACTCAAGATCCTGGCGTTTATCCCCACCCTTGATTAGAGTCTGCTTGGGAAGCAGGTGTGACTCTCTCTGACTGGGGAGCTTGGAGAGAAGCGGAGCACACAAGGCTCTGTCTCTTCTGGGTCTCTATGCAAGCTGCCCACTGGTAGTGAGGCTGCAGTCTGGTATGGTCTCATGTGTGAGTCAAGGTCCTGCTCTGGAGCAGGGAAGGGGATGAGGAAGTGAGGGATGGCTGCGGTTATCTCATTCCCCATAAACCCAGTGGAACAGCCCAGCTCTTCCAAGGACACCGGCTCTGACCATGCATCTTAAAGCACGTTTTCCAGAGCAGCACTCGGCAGTTGTAAAGCTGGAATTCAGAATTCTTCTTGTCAGACTCCTCCATTTGTCAACCTAATGTGAACTTGGTGGAAGAAGAGGCTCATTATTGGACCACGCTAAAATCTCATGATGTTGCTTAATTATTAAAAAGAAAAAGGATACATTAACCTCTTCCATGGTAGTAATCTGTGAAATCACAATTTGGATGTGTCTTATACCTTTTTCTAGTATACCTTATAATATTGTAGGTACATAACTATTAAAATAAAGCTTGCTTACGTGACAGCTAAAAAAATGAAAAGTAATGAATACATAGTTTAGAAAATAAAGAGCTTTTAAAAATGATGATTCCTTCGGTCGTACTTTAGGAGACTTAGCATTGGATATACATGTTAAACTGCTGAGGAAATTTGTATAGTATAAACATAAATAACAGCTGTGAGTTATTAATCAAATGTTAAAGGAAAGGAAATGTAGAGAATGTTTTGCAGATACTGTCCCATATAATACTTTTAGGCATTTGGCCAACATTGTGAGATTTTTTTTTTACTCCTTTTTCTTACATTAAAAAAAAATTACACTGACCAAGCTATATACACAGTGACCATTTGAAGATAATTTTTAAAATGCTCATAATGTATTATTAGATGACAAAAAAGTAGCATACAATATTGTATAAATCACATAGGGGGTTATCAGAGGTGAGGGGGAAGGGGGAGAATGGGGGAAAAGGTACAGGAAATAAGAAGCACAAATGGTAGGTACACGATAGACAGGGGGAGGTTAAGAATAGTATAGGAAACGGAGGAGCCAAAGAACTTATATGCACAACCCATGGACATGAACTAAGGGGGAATGTGGTGGAAGTAGGGGTACAAGGTGGAGGGGAAGAAAGGGGGAAAAATGGGACAACTGTAACAGCATAATCAATAAATTAAAAAATAGTAATTCCAATTATACTACATATGTGTATATTTCATATAATATATATACAATACAAAGAGAGATCACAAATTACACACTTCTAAAATGTCGACACTAATTTTCTTGTGTGTTGGGACTGAGGATAATTTCAATTTTCCTCCTAGTACTTTTCTATATTTTCAAAATATTTTAAATGAACATTTTATGAATTCTATAATCAGTAAAATAATTATATGTCTTAAACACATAAGATATTTTGTAGAACCATGGCTAGCATGGCTCAGTTGGTTGAGTATCATCCCACAAAGTGTAAGGTCACCAGTTAGAGTCCTGGTCGGGGCACATAGTCAGGTTGTGGGCTCTGTTCCTGGCTGGGGCATGTGCAGGAGGCAACCAGTCAGTGTTTCTCTTGGACATCGATGTTTCTCTCCCTCTCTTTCATCCTCCCTCCCCCTCTCTCTAAAAATAAATAAATAAAACATTTAAAAAAAGTATTTTGTAGATTTGTTGCTAAACCATTTCAATTTTTAAAAAAATATTTCATATCACTATTTTTTAAAAAAAGAAACAGACTACACAGAGACCACAATCTAGGAAAAACAACTTTCTTTTTGTATGGTTTTAGTAGCCATTTAACATTATAATTTTTTATTTTATATATTAATCTTTTTCAATTTATTTCTTAGATTTCTCAATGAAAAGGTTTCTTCGAAGCATTTAAAATAAGAAACCTCTTTGTGGTTTCTCCAACTTCCAATATCTAGATATATGTTACTTTAAAAATATTTCCCTTGCCCTGGCAGGCTTGCTCAGTTGGCAAAGCATTATCCCACACTCCAAAAGGTTGCCAGTTCAATTTCTGGCCAAGGCACATACCTAGGTTGTGGGTTTATTCCCCAGTTAGGCCACATATGAGAGGCAACTGATTGATGATGTTTCTGTCACATTGATGCTTTCCTCTCTTTCTCCCTCTTCCTCCATCCCTCTCCCTCTAAAATCAATAAACATGTCCTTGGGTGAGGATTAAAATTTAAAAAAATTTTTCCTTTATTATAAAGTGTTTGAGGACATTAATGAAAGTACAAGAATAAACAAAATCTGCTTTTATCTTAACATAGCATCTTTTTACCATATTTATCCTATAGTAAAATATATAAAATTTATTAAAAATAAAGTGGTAAAATTAATAAAATCCCAAGGGCCATACAATATGATGATTTTACTTTTAATTCTACAGGTATTGCATGAAGAAGATATAATTGAACACAATGTGACAATCGCATGATAAAACAGGGCCTAATAAAACATTCCCACATAGGAGGTGTTCAATCAACATTTGCTGAAAGATTGAAACCTCTTTCCAATGAATAGAGACAGTGATTCATCAGTGACCCAATAAGTGAGTAAATAATTTAGCAATAAACGAGTAAATAAAATTTTTTACCATAATGACTGTGTGATCAGTTGTTTCTGTCATATTAAGCCCACGATATCTAAGTAAAATGTTGGCACGGTACCTTGAGCTTCATCATGGAGTCTTGACATAACTTGTCTCCCCGGGCTGCGGACACCTCATCAATCCCGATCAGTTTGGCCTTGTACCGGACCCCTTCACCTTTAAACCTCTTTATCAAAGTGGCTTCGCTGCGATCCTGACCTAAAAATAAAGAAAAGCAGGATTCCAATATGTAGGCGTTCAGGGCCTCTTAGCTTTGAATGCCCACAGCATGGAGGTTTGCTCTTTTATTTCACCTATTTTAGGAAAGTCAAGTCAGTGGACCAAGCAGAAAACAAAAACAAGATAAAAACACATGGTAGTACTCCTGAATGCAAATTCTGGCTCTCTCCTCTTAAATCCTGAGGCAAATCTCTTCTCCTCTCTCAGCCTCTCTTTTCTAAGGCAGAAAAAAAGGAGTTAAAAATTACTAACCCCGACAGGGCATTAAGATAAATAAAGCACACAACAGGTGTCAAGTACCCAGGGCAGTGTTTGGTACCCACTAGATATTCAGTAAATGGTAATCACCCTCTGACATTCTTGTTAGAACAGTATTAATACTCAGTTCTTTAGTATTTCTAGCACTTAATGGGACTTTGGCCAGGATCCAAGATACTACTCACACCCAATTCCATGGGCTGTTTCATAGTGAGACTCCACAGTAATTGCTTTGTATTAAGTAATGAACCAGGGACAATTATCAAAAAAATGGTTTTATGATCTCTCTTTTGCTAGCTCGTGTGTGTACAGAAAGAGACTTCCACACTACTTGTGTGCCTATACCTTGCAACAGCTTTCTCAACAATTATTAACATAATGTTCTGATAAAACACATAAAACTGAAGTTCAAACACAACCACATAAAACATGAACAGTAAAGTTACAGTGAACTGAATATGTGTTTCATATGAAATGTTACACAAACTGTATCCCCATTCTTCATAACAACTCAGCCATATCCATTTTCCAGATGATGAAGATGAGGGTCAGAGAATTCAAGTAGCTTGTCCAAGTTCACATAGTCAGAAAAAAATATGACTATATAGGAATTCACATTTCTGATCTCATCAAACTTTCCTCGAACTAGTCAAAGTTTGGGGCATTGTGCATGTGGTTCTCAAAACCTGGAATGCCCTAGGCTCCTGATATTCATGTCCTGAAACATCATTAACTTCAACTTCTGATACTTGCTCTGTCACGCCTTCCCCCATCAGTCAGAATCTTAGAGCTGAGCACATTAGTGATAATTCAGCCTATTTCACTCTATCCATATGATGTGCAAAACTAAGGCCTTTCTGTAATGTGGGGTTGAGAGTTATTTGAGGAAATATGTAAAACAGAAAAAAAAATAAGCCAAAAGCAATAGCTAACCACTGTGTGTCACTCTTTGATTGACAACACATGACTTGCATTCATTCATGCAAGTCATACATTCATGAGATATATTCACTCATCCCTTACTGAGCGTCTCTGTGCCAGATGCACTGATCACAGACAAATGATACAGTCTGTGCCCAACAAAGCTCAAGTTTCTGGTGACTGTGAATCCAAATAAAAAATGTGTTGTGCTGGGTATATAGAAGGTACAAGCATTAGAGTTAGACATCCTCATTTTAAATCACGGCTCTGTCACTTCTAAAGCAACTAAACTATCTGCTGAACCTCAATTTCTTTACCTGTTGCATGAAAAGTAACAGTAGCTTAAATGAGATGGCATGTGCGAAGCATGTATTCACACGTTTTTTCTTTAAACAGTAGCTGCCACCAGTATTGTCAGCCCAGTAAAAGAAGCAAATGCAAGATACAATGTGAGGGCAGGAGGGCACAAAAGAGAAACATCTGCAGAGGCAGGTCTGGGCCTGTGGTCCCCAACTCCCAGGTGGTATTTTTCCCACTGCATCCTTGCTGACTCCTAGTATATTCGTCTTTGAATAATATTCCACAAAGCAAATATAACACATGAATGATTAGTGAGAAAATATATTCAATGTAAAAATTGAGTCTCCCAGGTTCAGGGAGAGCAGATGTCAGAGACTAAAGCTACAAACACAGAGAACATTTTCCTCTCTAGACATCTAGCTGAATAACAGGGTTCATGGGGCTGTAGGTCACCTTTCCCTACATTATTATGTACTGTTTGGTAGGAGTGGCCTAGGGCTTGGTCTGTTTCTTGGGAAGGTCTTCTTACTCTATCATAAATACCATCTCTACACCTTCAACACATGACACAATGTCACTATTAGCATCCCTTTCACTATTTGGGACTTCCTCCAACAGTTAATTACAACCACAATAACTGGTAGTATTTATCACGTCTTGTACAAAACATATATTGAATATATGCACCAAATTGTTTAGCCCCAGAAAAGAATCCTAGAGGTGGGTACTATTATTCAGGTTTTACAGACAAGGATCTAAATTGAAGGGTTGAAGACCAAGTAACTTGGCCAAACTCACTAAATGAGACCTAAACCCAGATCTAGCTGAGATCAAAGCCCAGGCTTGTGGTTTGCATTGTGTTCTGTGTTTCTTAAGACTGTTCTCTTCACCACTATGATTAATTTTTTCTCATTCCACAAATTCCCTATAAGGCCCAACTTTTACCTGACCCAGAGCTGCTGATACTCAATACACTGGCAGCATTAAAACTTCACTGGAAAAACAGCTTAAAAATGGACCAGTTTCTGGCCCACAAGGCATGTCTGAAAACTGTCCATGAGTCCCATAAAAAGAGAGCCTTAAGAAACATTTGTCAGGGCACAGAGCTCTCCCAAGGAGGAAGCTTCCAAAGAGGAGGCTGAGCCAGATCAGGTGAACAAGGGCAGAGATTAATAAGAAAATATTAGGCCATTTAGAGGAAAGTAGGGAGCCCAATTTAGATTAGGACCCAGGGCCAAGCTAATTTGTATGAAGGGCACTTATGCAGTAGATAATCCAGTTTCTCATTAAATGCTCCACCATTAAAAGGGTAATTTTTCATGAGCACATCTTCAGCAAGGTCTCAGTTATATTAGTTAAGAAATAAATAACAGATATCGGAGTCATAAGGTCGTTACCATCAGAGGCACATGCTATTCAAGGGTGTTAAAGAGAGGGTCAGTTTTCATGCATCCTAAGTCATCACAAATCTCCAGCTTCTTTTGCTGAAAGCACCACTGACCCTGTGCTTCAGGATGGACAAGATAAAGGCCATGTATTTCAGCAAAAGCATTAACATCATCACTATCTATTATCAAGCATTCGCTAAACCAGATCTTGTGCCAAGAGTTCTACTTATGATTTTCCATTTAATCCTTATACCTGCTCTCTGAGTTAGAGCCTGTAATGAGCCCTTTGTTACAGAAGATGCCACCAACACTCAATGGCAACAGCAGAGCCTACCTTTTTAAATAACTGCTTTACTGACACATAATTCCCATACCATCCAATTCACCTTTTGAAAGTATATATTTAATTCAGTGGTTTTAGTACATTCCTAGAGTTATACAACCATCACCACTAGCCAGTTTCACAACATTTCATCACCGTAAAAAGAAGCCCTGTATTCATTAGCAATCACTCTCGATCTTCCCCAGACACAGGCAGCCACTCATCTAATTCCTGTCTCTATAGAGGCACCTATTCTGGAGGTAAATCATAGTTCATGTAAATAGGGTCATACAATATGTGGTCCTTTGTGACTGGCTTCCTTCACTTAGCATCTCATTTTCAAGGTTATTGCATACTATAGCATGCATCAGTACTCCGAGTCCTTTTTTTGCTGAATAATATTTCACTGTATGGATATACCACATCAATCCATGGACATTTAGGTTGTTTCTATTTTTTGGCTATTATGAATAATGCTTCTATGAACATTGGTATGTCAGTTTTTATGTGAGTGTACTTTTCAGTACTCTTACTATTATACCTAAGAGGGAAGCTGTTGGGTCACATAGTAGCTCAGGTTTAACTTTTTAAGGACCTATCCACTGTTTTTCCAAAGTGGTTCTACCAATATACCACCTCATCTGCAAAGCAGGAATGTTTCCCTTTTGCTGCTGGGTGTTCTGGCCAACATCCCTTACTATCTGTGTTTTCTGCCCTAGCCATCCTGATGGGCCTTAAGTGATATTTCACCATGGTTTTGTTTTGCATATTCCTCAGGAAAATGGATACTGAGCATCTTTACATGCTTATTGTCTATTTGCATATCTTCTCTGGAGAAACGTCTATTCAAATCCCACAGCCTGGGTTTGAATCCAAGTGTTGTGCAAAATGTCATGCTTGTAACCATTAGGCATGGCCCTCCGGTGACCTCACTAGGTACTCTCTTAAAGCATTTGCCACGTTTTGCTTTGTGTCACACCTGTCTGAATAGATGTCTCATGGGGGCTGTAGGAAACTGGCAGATGGCTTACTCCTAGGATGAGTACGCCATCACAAGCACACACAGTATACCTGATCCTCTCATACCTTATTTTGCCTAATTCTCCTGGGTTACTGGAAATAGGCATTGTCATCATTCTGTGAATGAAGTTACTTTAAGTTCAGCTGGGAACAGAACCTCATCCTGTCCTGCTCCAAGGCCTGAGATCTCCTACTGAGAGGTAAGAGGACACAATGGTCCAGAAGAGGAGCTGTGGATTCAGAGGACCTGAGTTCAGTTCCAGCACTCCCACCCATGTCCTAATCATGCTGCCTTGTGTAAGTTCCTGTCCCTGTCTGCCACAGTGTCTTTCTCTGTGAAGTGCAGATAATAACAGTTGTTCCCACATGAGTCATTGTGTAGGTCAAATGACAACATGCAGGACAGTGACTGACAAACAGTAAGAGCTCAGTCAAGGTTGGCCATTGTATCTGGGTGAATGTAACTCCCATTTGTCTGAGACAGTCCTTGGTTACACCTTTGGTCCTGACACTATTATCACTAACACCCTCATTACTCTCAAAAGTAATGATGGTGGTCTGGTTAGTACATTGAGTGGTCATCCTAATTATATTATCATCAATTGTATACCACTCTGCCCTAGAGTGTTCTTTGTGCTAGGCACTGTGCTGGCTTCCTGTGGTACCTAGGTAACTGAAAAGTATCTCCTCTCCTGTCTAGAGGAGGCCACAATTTAGAAGGGGACATACACAGCTATACAAAATACAACCAGGACTATGAAGGTTATGCA